AAAACCCACTATTCCCTCACCTTTCCTCTCCACATGTCCCCCTGGCTCCCCACGTGTGAAACTTCCGATGCTTTGATTGCAACTGCCCCCTATTTGTCTGCGTTATTTGATTCTGCAACAGCAGCCGCCGGAAAGGGTGGTGGTCTTGACCGCGTCGCCTCATGGCCCCATCATCCACGGTGACGCAAAAAATTAGCCTGATTCCACTATAGCCCCTCCATAATGCATTGTTCAACGATCATCTTTGCCTCTCTTTCCACCGCCTAGCCAGCCAAGTGGGGAGATTTGAGCGAAGTTGAAGATACTTGGCTAACTGCTAAAGTGCCCGAGCCAGGTCAACTTTGGTGAAGGCCTGGGAACAAACTCGTCACGTACACGCGTCATGGACTCTCACGCGTGCTATATCTATATCCCTGGTTGGCGACCCATCAAAACGGTTATTTCTGGCTCCTTGTACTTTCTGCGGCAAGCTTTTGGGAAAAGTCGATAAAAGAAAAAGTAGGCTTTAAAAAGGTGGCAGCGTAACTAGCAAAAATTTCGATTATGTGCCCTGTTCAGAGTATATTTTCAAACTTAATATGTTAACGGTAGAGGCGTGTTAACGAAAGTAATATCCCTGCACAAAATTATTGATTTTTAGCTTGAGCGTCAGACGTCGTTCGGCGTTACGGTTCGCGTCCACGCGGCGACAATCGCGACAGCGCGACGTGTTCTCGACACCGCTATCGCCTCGTTCGAATTACTAGCAGATATCATGGAAATTCCTCTACCGTTAAATAAGGTGAACATTTACTTTTCCTACTTTTCACTTTTTTTGTTTCCTCTTATCGTGTACAGAGCGGAGCAATTTGCAGCGACCCGGAGAAATCTACAATAAACCGCTGTCCTGAATCCTGAAACAAGAATCCGCTGGTGATCACTGATCCATACACAACATTGTTTGGCTTAGAGGGGGAGGAGATTTTCCACTTTTGCCAGGTTCTTTGTTAGCTTACGGTAATTTAGTGACGCAAGTGAGCCATTTTGGTGGCTGACATTTACAGGTCTTCACAAGATGGCCCTATAAGCTCGGCTGACTACCACTTGATGTCCCACCACTCCAAGTTGCCCCCAAGATTACCATTTGAAGGTACCGCAACCGATGTCGACACACTATTTGACGCGCTTGGGGTAGGCTTCGTCGGGTTCATTCGAGCACGGTCATCAGCACATTCCCATAATCTGAACTACGGTTTCCAACGTTTGACCGAGTCACTATAGTCGCTTCTGCCAACTTCTGCCAACAACCGCTTCCGCCACACCAGTTGATGGGCGCGATCCCACAAGCACGAGAAGCCACTGAACCCCTAAAACTCAGAATCGCGAGCCTTTTCAACGGCAAAATCAGCGCCAAGTGATTCCCATCCAGGCATTCAAAAGAATCTACGACCCTTGATTTCATGAAGAATTTCTTTAGCAATACATTTTAGGTCGACTTCATTATGGTGCCGCATTACGACGGTGGCATGGAGAACTGGGGCCATGTTCTCCTATCTGAGAACCTGGCTGCATCTGGTGATGACGCTCATCTCTCCTATATCATCGCCCACGAACTCGCCCACCACTGGATTGGTGATAAGGCAACGGTGAACAGTTGGCGATGGATTTGCCTGCAGGTATGAAATTCATAATAAACTAGGTGCTCTTAAGGTGCTAAGGTGGCAGGGTAGAGGTGCTGATGTGATTACTCTGGATATAGTTGTACGGTCCATAGACTGGATTCCCCCGGAGTGGCAAATAGAAGAACTCACTAGTGCAGTAGATAAACTCGGTGGCGGAAGTACGGTATAAAGTCCCGTCAGCGTCGACAAGAACTCAGAGAACTGTAAAGTAAGAGAAATTGGAATAGGATTGAATGAGGATAATGAATGGCTGTATCGTTACTTGGGAGGAAAAACACTCAAAGGCTGATCTCCGTGACCCACAATGTGGCCCACATCTGCTTCTACAATGCCAAATGAAAATAAAACTTGTAGCGCATCCCAGCAGGGTGACAAAACCTGTG